TCATATCTACCTTGTGCCATTGCTTTTTATTTATTTAACCACAAATTTAACCATATTTGTGGCTTCACCTTAAGAATTTAACTGCCTGAATTAGATGAACTGGAAGGCATGAATTGAGCAGCTAGACTAATAAAAACTTTATAAAGCTGTTGTCAACCATTGCTCCCAGCAATATTATATGCATTTCAGCAGCTGTATAATTCTAGGTAGTACCAATAATTCTGGACTATTTCATTTAGAATTCCAGCCTATACAAACAGGCTGTAATTCTAACAGCCCATTCTGTAACAATAACTATATGCTACATTGTGCTCCAACCACATAATCCAATTTTGATTTTTGCTAAGGGTTGTCTTTGAAACAACTTCAGTTGAGAAGAAGTTAATAAAGGTCTTTTGAAAGAGATAGCCACATACAGTATGTAGAATTTTCATATTGCCTTAGTAGAGGCCTTCTCTCTTGATCCTGAATGCCAGACTTGGAAGACATCCCTTTTTTATCCAAGGGGCTGAATTTCCAAGAATAGGCAGAACCCTTGATCAGGACAGCACTGCATTTCTTAGAACGTAACAAAAAAGAAAAGAAAACTGGTAGCATTTTTGGCAGCCATGTGAAACTCCACTGGATAATATAAGTTTGGGGATGATTGACTGTTTTCCGAAGAGGAACATGCTCCAAAAGCACTAGTGATATTTGCAATAATAGGTGGGGATCAGGGCTTTTTGAAAGTAAAACTAGCACAAAACAAAACAACGTGTGTTATTCCTAATATGTATAATCATTTTCAAACTGTTTAAATCCCAATTCAACCTGACAATTCAACTTGTTTGTTTGAATTTATTTTGTTAGTTCTTTTGTTGATTTGAGAGTACCAATATGATTTTTATCTCCTTTCTTTCCTCCTGTACAGCCTCCAACATCCTTTACAAATCTGATTTTATGAGTTTAGAAGGGGTTCTGTTGGCAGGAGGAGATATCCAATTATCATTTTAAGCAATCGTTTAAGTCAAACTAGATATGCAATATTTTATTCAACAGAATACATGACTATAAAACAGAATTGTCTATAATTTCTTTTTCTTGACAGATCTCATATCTTTAGTGCCAGAATGGCAAGGAGAAACTCAGCAGATAAAGCTGGTTCCAGCATGCTGATAAGAGAAATGGTTTTCACATATTTGCTAAGGACTCTGAGCGCTACATGCAAATACACAGATCATTTCTCTATCAGCTGCACATTGGTTAAACAAAAACAATTACACAAAAAATGACAGGTGGATAAAGCATAATAGGTTACACAGATTCCTCTGCAGTTTTTATACAATGTTTTATCCCTGTACATTCCACAACCAAGACCCTCAAGTCAGTGATCAAACATTTGAATTTGTTGTTTTTGTTTATATCACATGCTCAAAATTAATAATAATAATAAAGTTGGAAGGGACCTTGGAGGTCATCGAGTCCAACCCCTTGCTCAGGCAGGAGACTCTACACCATTTCGGACAAATGGCTGCCAGTCTCTTCTTTAAAACTTACAGTGTTGGAGCATTCACCGCTTCTGGAGGCATTGGTTCCATTGGTTAATTGTTCTGTCAGGAGGTTTCTCCTTAGTTCCAGGTTGCTTCTCTCCTTGATCAGTTTCCACCCGTTGCTTCTTGTCCTGCCTTCAGGCGCCTTGGAGAATAGCTTGACTCCCTCTTCTTTGTGGCAGCCCCTGAGATATTGGAACACTGCTATCATGTCCCCCCTCGTCCTTCTCTTCATTAAACTAGACATAC